AAAGAAGCTGAGTCAGGAGTCGCCATGATTCTCCCACTCCAGACAGACGCAGGTTAAGATCCTCCCTGGTAAGCCACCTCGTGGGCTACACAGAATATTAGAAATGGGTTAGAACAATATGTAAGAGCTAGCCAATAAGAGGCTGGAACTCATGGGCCAGGCAGTGTTTAAAAGAACACAGTTTCTGTGTAATTATTTCGGGGCATAAGCTAGAGCTAGCTGGCGGCCGAGAGCTGGGGCGGCAAGGAAATGGCCCGCAGGTCCGCAGATCCTCACAACGCGCCTCCTCCTCACACAGCCTTCCTGAGGCAGATGCTAAGGGGGAAAAGACTCTGCTAGTGCCCACGGGACACAGCCTGCTCACCTAGACCCGCCACATACACTGACATGCCTTGGGCTCCTCCAATTAGAAGTGAAGGGAACTATGTGTGCTAGCATTTGTGAGGGACAGCGCTCTACTTTATGGATGAAGTCTGGAACTCAGGGAGTCAACAGATCACGCAAGCTGCACAGACATAAAACCCAGAGGCATGACAAAGCAGTGACTGTTGCCAAGAGGAAGAAAACTGTGGAGTTTGAGATTAGTGGGAGAGCTGTGTGGATCTGCCAGTTAAGATAAAGATCCGGGTTGGGTTTGCTTTGGATAAGATTAGGCTACGCAGATGTTTCCACGCGTCCCCGTGGGCCAGTGATTATGGGGGTCAGCCAAACCGCGAGAACACTGATAACATCTCCCTCAGACAGGAGCATAAATCTTGCTTTTTCATATTCCCTGGCTCCCAGGTGAGTGGGTGGCTTCACCCTAATAATTGCCTGTGCTTTCTGTGTCCCTTCTGCAAGGTCTATCAAGATGCTGAGGAATGGCCTGCAGGGTGGGGCCACATGAAAATTTGAAAGAATTCTGAGAAAATGGGATTAAAAAATTTAACATCAAATAGACTTTTAAAATGTTTAGACATTCTTTTTTTCAGTCTTTCCTTATTGAACTTCCCTCTCTCCCCTTCTTTCTTTCCCTCCTCTCTTCTCTCCATTCCCTACTCAGCTCATCCATCTGGTGTCAACTCCTGTGACAGCGGTGGGCTAGTGCATCGAGGCCCTGTGGCAGAAGCTGAGGCCCTGTAAAGCCCCGTCACGGGGATGTCCACTGAAGATCCTGGTATGAAAGTAGATTGGTTTTTCCAGTGAGGAAGGCGGTGTGGAGCTGTCAGAAGGCTATGTGGGAGACAACTACTGAGCGCCTGGGAACCAACTAAATACTGTGGCAGAGATTTCCAGCAAGTTCCCCACAGTCAGACTGTCCAGATGGAGAGCCACATGGTTGCCCAGCTGCACCCTGATCTAGCAGTGAGCCCAGGGCCCTTCTCCCTTGCTTTTCTTTTGGAGTTGGTTAGGGGGTTGGGAGGAAGGACGATGCCTCTCCTGAGGGTAGCTATCACCTTCAGGGTTCTCTCTCCTGAGCCCGAGTTCACAGGTATCTTATAAACAAGACCAGTCCCCTGCCTTGGCTCTTTGTTCCTGTCTCTCACATCCAGACAGTATCACTGGATCTGCAGCCCCTCCCCTTCCCTTCAGGCCGTCTGGTGCCCACTGGCACACACTTTGTTTATGACTCTGACTTGGACATTCAGCTGATATTAATCTGTCAACCCTTGAATTATTAATCACCTTAAAGGAGACACCCCTCTGGGGTCCTTTAAGGTGACTCCGTATGCATGTTTATCCTCTCCTCACAGAAATGGCTAACCCATCTGTCCAGGTCACCTGACTAAGCGATCACAGAAGGATGGGAAACTCCAACAAGAGCTCTACTTGCTTTCCAGGTGGTCACACCACTTCTGTAGGGACCGTGAGACACAGAAGGAAATGGCCCATTCTGGGCTCAACCTGGCCTGCAACTGCCTCCCCTGCACGCTTCCCCTCACTGCCACGCTCCACACTGACACTCGAGGTGACCTTGAAAGCAGTAAATAAAGAAGCATTGGCTGGGGCACCTGGCGATGTTGAAAGGAGTGACTCTGTGCCTGCTACCTCTACATCTGAAAGGAAAAGCACACTGTGTCACGCTCTCAGCCTCAGCTGTATCGTTAGAGCACTGGCCTTTCTTCAACAGCTATGCCCACCACTCAAGCCTCAGCAACCATGTCCCACTAGGAGAAATGAAAAGCCAGATACCCTCTGACCCAGAGGCGTGCATGTGTCCTTGACTGTGGTGCTCTGATCTACTTAACCTAGACTCGGACTGAACTGACTGCACAGAGAGGCCAGTGATGGGCACATGTAGGAGGAGAGGTCGTGGTAGAAGCTGTTTCTCTGCTCTCAGGGGACAGAGGTATCCGAGGGTTCAAGCTCGGGGATCAGCGATGTGGGGGCAGCCCTGGGTCCTTTGCAGCTGGCATGTGAGTTTAAGGTTTATGTAAGTGTGTGTGTGTGTGCGCGTGTGTACGTGTGCGCACGCGTGTGTGTGTTCACATGTGTGGTGTGTATGCCATGGGTATATAAGTGCTCAAAGAAGGCAGAAAAGGGCACCAGACCCCCTGGACCTAATGCTGAGCCGTAAAATCCAGGTTTGGGGAATTGTATCAACTGCTCTTAGCCATCGTTCCAGCCCCTGTTGTGTGACAGTAGACTTGGATTTGCCCAGCCACCCCAGGTCCTCCCACATTGCTCAGGAAGTCTTCATCCCTGGGTGTATTTCCCATAAGCCCTTCTCCTCTTATGTTAAAATGGGTTGGTTTCTATGGCTTGATGCTCAGACCTCCTGTTAGGTACTTCTCCTTCAGGGGGTTGGGGCTGGGGGCGGGGCAGAGGACTCTTCCCCACAACCTCTGGGGTACATTTCTCTCTCTCTCTCTCTCTCTCTCTCTCTCTCTCTCTCTCTCTCTCTCTCTCTCTCTCTCTCTCTCTCTCTCT